GTAGTTAGAGATTTGTATTCTGATCAGGGCGGGAAAAATCTGTTTTTCAATCATTTGGTCTGTTCAGCGGCTGGAGAGAGGTTGTGTGATCTTGTGTTCATGTTTAGAAAAGTTTCAAATTTAGTTTTCAACTGTTTACGATCTTGTAATTTCCAATTCGTCTAAACGAGCAATAGTTCAAGAAACCTCTGTTCTTAGAAAAGTTAAAGAACAGTTGTTCAATTGTAAATCATCGCTGCCTTCTGAATCTGAACAGTTCGAAAGTTGTCATCGCTCTCATTTGAAATTTCGCTGGCTTACCCCGCTGATTAGCAGCCTCTAGAGGTATCAGAAACCAAAATCCACTGTGAGACTTATTGTGAGCAGCGTTGTGAGCGGGTTTTATACAAACTAATGATGTTGATTTCATTTAGCTTGTCTTGTGCTTCAATTTCGGAATTGTAGGAATCTGTTTGCTCGGCGTCTTCTGAATACAACACTACTGCAAGAGGAGGTATCTCAATAAATATTCTGAGCTGTCATCATCTTAGTAAACCTTCACAGCTCATTAAGACTGCGTGGGATATGAGTCTCAGTTGGATTGAAGTAGAGGGTTGATGATAGCGAGGACTAGCGATTGTCGGCACGTTGTTGTTCGTTGAGTCTACGTAGTAGCTGTGGTTACCCAATTCTCATGGAAGGATGAATCCAATTTTTGTTGTCAAAAGTTGGAGTCAATGAGCGAGCACAATTCAGAGCTGCAGATCTCTTGGCTTCTCAGCTGCTGTTCATCAGAATCGAAATCTCAAACAGCGTGTGGGTTTCTCGATGATTATCTATTCTATTGTTTTGTATTGCATATCCTCTTTAGGATTCTTCATCATATTCTTCTCACTGTACTTGCTCGTGACTGTCCCCACCAAGCTGACTACGTTCTCCCGATTCGTCATACATGGACATGACGTGATGTGAGTAAAACCGCTCAAANCGTGATGTGAGTAAAACCGCTCAAACAATATATTATAACTGTTTTTTGAAGAACTGGGTTTACTCAAGTCTATATGACCATTGGCGTTCAGCTTAACGTTATCCTACCATGTGCCAGTGCATACAACTCGGGACTTCTAACTCGTTTCGAAATTATGAGTACTACAAACCAACTTTGGGTTTTCGTTGCTCTGTTCACAAGTAACCGACTATGATAGAGAGTGGAAGATGAAACAAACTCGTTTTCAGGTAGCTCAATGTTCTCTCTTCTTCTCGGTATTAATCGAGCCTTCGCTGTCTCAATGAAGTTGTCGGATAGAACGAAGAAGATTCTCTTAAAAAGCTTCTTTCTCCAATTGTTCCTACAGTTCATAGGTACAGCTATCGTTGGTCTCAGGTTGAAAGATAATGGCGAGAGTGGTCGA